GTGAGTGATACCCCTGTACACCAATTTACTTAACTGAAGTCCTAGATGCACCATTCTTTTTTTTTAAATTTTTTAAATTTTTTTTGAGAGTTTTTTTTTTTCACTATAGGGCGTGTGCGCTCGCCAGACAGACAGAGACACAGAGACAGAAAGCAAGAAATCATCCCCCAGGGGGGATGGTCACGCTGTAATCCCTTCTCCTCCATTCTCCTCTCGGGATCTTCGGCACGCACGCACACGTGCCCGGCGTGACTTTTAAGCCACCGGGTCCAAGACGTGAACCGCGGTCGACTACATGGGAGTCCAGCGACATAGCCATTACGCTAACTACTGGTTCCCTAGATGCTCCATTCTTCTATCTTTCTCTTCCCTTATTGCTATCTAATTCCATCAAATAATTATATTTTGTCTATCTCCCCCTCTACATTCATACTGCTTTTAGTCAAAGCTAGTGTCAACTTTTGAATAGATTATTACAACATCTTCTGGTGTTTATGTCTCTGGCCTTGACTCCTTCCTCATAGGCACCCAGGTGACCATTGTGAAAACCCAAATCAGATTGCAATGTTCTCTTACTTAAATCTTTTTATCTACTGCCTTTACAGTAAATTTTTCAGTTCCTTGCATGGCATATCATTTTAAGTTTTCCTCTAGCTCAGGAACTGAGTGCAACTAGTTGGTTGTGGCAACAAAGAACACAGTGTTAGAGTTGATAAAGCCAGTTACTATGCAGAAACCACTGCCTTGTTTGTAGAGTGACTGTTGGGATTGACTGGGACTTTATGGCTATGAGGGTCTCACTTTGTAAGACCTTCTATATCTTTATTTTTTTGTGTTTTTAAATGGTGTCTAGATTAACAAACAAAACTAAACTAAAAACAGAACACTGTGTAGAAAAATAGAAAAGCATCTGTGACCCAGAGTCAGGCATCACTACCCAGGTCCTTCCTCTGTTTTTGGTGACCACTTCCTATCTTGGCATCTCTAGCTCTGTGATGCTTACTTGTTTAGGATTCTGCCTTGTTCTCTCAGATGTAAGTTCTTTGACAGTTGAGATATTATGTTTGTTTGTATATCTACTGTACAGCATAGTATAGGATGCTCAATACATAGTTGTTGGATGAATGAGTAATATTTGGGAATATTAGTAATATTTAGGAATATTACTAATATTTTGTAAGCTAATACAACTCTATGTAAACTCAATGATTACAATGTCCAATTTCACTTAATAATCATCTATAGAAAATGAAGGACAGGGAAAGGCTAAAATTAAGTTATGTAAATCAATAAAAGTGAAAGTTATCAAAACAAAAAGAAAGGTGAATGGGGAAGGGTTGGGTAATATCTCAAATCATCCACATATTTCTCCTGTGCCTTTTCTGGACAAAGGAGTGATTTCTTTTGTCTGGATAATCCGAGGGTGCCTTCCTAAAGAGATAGAATTAGACCAAGAATCTGATTGAGATAACAGGAGGGAAAGTAGAAAGTATTCATTGAAAGGTAGAGAGTTCACATAAAGGCAGAGTGTGACTTCTATGGTGGTCTTGAGGAACTAAAATAATAAGGTAAAATAGATATTAAACAGTAAAATTAGGAAGGCTTAATGGCTCATTCTTTCCTAATGTTTTACCTTTTTTACTCAGAATATCATTTATCTTGAGGAGAGACTGTACTTATTGCTTGCTCTAAAGGCATCTTTAATGTTTAATGATAAAACCCATTACTAAAAACAAAACAGAGAGCGAAAAAAAAAGCTGCCTCTTTGAGTCCTCTTGGTGGCAATAATATCCAACTCTACATTCTCCATTGCATGTTGATATCTAATTTGAAATAAAAGTGTTTCTTGATTACTAGCATCCTATATTCATGCTACTTTCTCTTATTTATGTGCCAAGCTATCTACAAATCTTCTCCCGCAGAATTCATATTGTCAGAACATGTGGACACTCTAGAGATTCTGCTGGGTCTCACTGACTCTCTATAGTCCCTTTTATCATAGTAGCAGTCACAATGGCCTCGTGATGAAAAGCTCAGGCTCTGGATAAAACTGCCTGGGTTCAAAACTGGGTTCTACCTTATCGTAGCTGGAAAATCCTGGGTAAACTGCCTAAACTCTCTGATTCTTGGATTTTTAATTTTAACTTGTGGATTTAGATGGAAATAGCATACCCCTCAAAGAGTTGTTGCAGGCGTTAAGTAAATACAGGGAAAGCACTTGGAATAGTGCCTGACACGTAGTAAGGAGCATGTAAGAGTTAGCTATTGCTATTATTTCTAACAGGGAGGAAAATGTACACCTCTCAAATATTTAGATATCTATATCTACATATCCCTATGTGACCCTCAGGTTAAAAAAATTTTAAGTTATTTTAAGTTGCATTTTAAGTGATTCTTAGAACAACAATTTAGCTTTAAAAGGGCTTTAAACATGTCTCACATTGGAACCAGCAAATGCCATAATGGTTATGTCACTGGACTCCCACATAGTTAACCATGATTTAAGCACTGGACCCGGTGGTTTAAAATTCATGCCAGGTGCATGTGTATGCATGCCCAAGATCCTGAGAAGAGAATAGAGGAGAAGGGACTGTGGCACAATCACCTTCCCTGGGGGGAATTTCTCTCTTTCTATCTCTTTGTCTCTCTCTGTCTTTCCAGTGAGTGCATGCATCCTATAGCAAAAATCTCTTTCAAAAAAAAAGAAAGAAAAAGCTTGGGATAGAGTAGATTTTAGTATCTACTCAACCCATTTGCTATAAACAAATGCATAAGCAGACTTGCAAAATATTGAACAAATAACAGACAGATAGTTATTATACTAAGTATAGGTATGCTGGGTGCTTTGGGAATGCAAAAGAGGTGAGTTTAGTCCCAATGTGGGAATAAATCTATAAAATCTTCATAGAATCATTGACACTCAGCTGAGTCCTAGAGAATGTACAGGAGTTGGCCTCATGAAGAACAAGTGTAAAGGATCTAGATAATCTCTTTATGATACTTTGGTCACAATATTCAAAATCAGGCAATTAGTTAATGTGAATAATTTTACTGGTAGTTATGCCGCAAGACATAAATGGAATTTTACTTCAGTACCTACTGTTCTAATTGGTATCAAATGATTCAAAATAATTAGAGATTCTTTTCTCATTTTTTGGAGAGGTTTTTGCTATAGGGCACATGCGCTCACCAGAAAGAGACTGACAAGAGAGACAGAGAGTGAAAAATCACCCCCCCCCCGGGGGGAGGGGGATGGCCATGCCACAATCCCTTCTCCTCCATTCTCCTCTCAGGATCTTGGGCATGCACCAACACGTACCCAGTGTGAGTTTAAGCCACTGGATCTGAGACCTAAACCATGGTTGCCTATATGGGAGTCCAGCGACATAGCCATTATGCCAACTGCTGGTCCCATAAGTAGAAACTCAATAATTTGGGTTGAAATATATATCTTTAAACCTTTTGAAAAATCTAAACACTTTCACTGGGTAGTTGCATGCCATCCTTCTGATGAACTCCTTTTAGAGGTTGAGTCATTTAAGCAACACAAAAAGAAAATTCTCTTATTGTCCTGGTTGATAAATTTAGTAGCAGAGTTAGGATTTGAACGCACTTCTGCTGAGTGCATGGTTTTAATTTTTGCACTAAGTGAAGTTTTAGATTACCTTCTCACTAAAAAGTCATTATTTTCTTGTATAAAATTGAAGAAATATACAGAGAAACAACTTTATTAATTATATTAATTCAGATTTTCTTTCTGAAGACTCTCATAAACTGTTACATAAAATGTAAATTGTGAATTTTCCTTTGACACTATGTGGATGAACTCATCACAAGATTTCTTGCTAGTCAGCACTGTTCTGCAACTAACAGTGCTTTTGCATCCATGTCTTTCTTTGTTTTTTACCTGAGTGGATATAGAAAACTACTTGAATAATGCATATTATCTTCTGTATTCTTTCAACAGAACGTTGCATACTTAAATCACTAGATGGATTCCTGATACAGCATCGTAATTTTAAAAATTCTATTTGTAAATACCTGGACTAGTAGTCTATGTCTAAATGCATTAGATAAATAAAAACAAATATATAAAATCTAGTGTTTGTCAAATAACTCCTTTCAAATAAAAATGTAGAGAATTGAAGTTCTTTTTAGCCATTAAACAGCTTCCTTCTCAGGTTTTCTTGAAGGCCAGCTGGCCATCCTACTCCTACCTCCTCTTTGAGATTAACTGATGGAACAATCAAGCCAGTGTCCCCCGTTCCCTGACCACTAGCCAATATGACCTCCATCTTTTATTCTTCTGATTATTAGCCCCATTATGCCTTTTTTCAAGTCCTCGTCTTTGTATACAAGCCACAGTGTTGAATACTATTAGTTTTCCACCAAAGATTTCCAGTCATTTTTGAATTCTTCCAAGTCAGAAGGTGTTACTGGCTCCACCATGAAATAGAGGTCATTGCAGCAGCAGTGACTTTCGAGCTCCTTGCTAAATTTAGCTCTCCGATAATTTCCACTCTAATGAAAACTGTGAACTACAATTATAGAATGTTGGAACAGAATGGGAACTTAAAGGTCAATGAGTCCAACCCCCTCATTTTTCTAATGGAAATGTGGGGCCCCAGACAGAGCCCATGATTTGCTTGAGGCTGCAGTGCTTGTTAATGGTGGAGATGGAACCCAGTCCCAGGGTAATGCTGTCCTCACTATAGCAGTGATGCTCTGCCTCTTATGCTAGATGTAAGCTAACCAGGTCTCACAGCATAAATACAACTGATATTATTGGTTGTGGCTTACCCTCCATGGCCATCCATGTATTTGATGGCTGAACATGTTACAGCAAGAGTGTCTGTCTTATAAGTTTCTACAAGAGATATAATATGACTCCATACCTATACCCTGCCCCCCCAACTCTAAAAACTTCCTGCCTTGTGTTCATCAATAATGAATGGCCCATCCCTGCAATACTCAGATGGAGCTTACATTGCACTTTTGAGCAGCCAGTTAGTAATGTACAGTGGATAGAGCCTTTCTTTCAAATCCCAGAGCAGCGGGTCCTTCAAGGGTAGTATTGCATTTTCAATTAGCTGCTGAGTGAATGCTTGGCATGTGTATTAGTGAAGAGGCACACAATTAGCTTATTGTTCCTTTTTGTATTGTGTTGAGAGGATCCAAGCGATTGGTAGGGGAACAGGCAAGGCAGGCATCGCTGTGGATGTTGAAGACTGGAGATTCTCAGACCTCGGCATCTTCACTTGCTCACTCTGGAATTACGGCTATTTATTACGAAGCACTCTGTGTGGCTTGGTGGAGTGTGCCCGAGAAAACACATCCTGGAAACCACTTGGGGTTAGTCTTTCTGAGCTCTTCACATCTCTAGCTAATTCTCATCATTACCATGGAGCCCAACAGTCCCAAAAAGATACAGTTTGCTGTGCCTTTATTCCAGAGTCAGATCGCACCTGAAGCAGCAGAGCAGGTAAGGGGCACTGGGTGAGGAAAAATTCCTGTACATGAGGTAAAGCAAACATGCATTCATGTCACTAAAGGAATGGCTCTCCACCTCTTGAATGTCTTAACTCTGCGACTTAGAGGGTATGTGAATCAGAAATAAGTTGGTTTCTATATGTACCTATATGTGAGTTTGTTGGAGGGACTGCTGGTTAATGCAGCATTTTATTGATACTGAATTAGCATCCATTAAGGAAAAATGCTTATATTAACAATTAAGATTTAAGTCCATAAATCTGTTTGCTTTTATTTATTAAAATAGCAATGGAAACTTTCAGAACAATTTTTAAAAATTAATTAGTAGTAACAACATTTTATTTCATTATTTATAAAACAAAAAGATGGTCTAAACCATGAAATCCTGGAATACTTTTATATTATAAGCCTAGTTATTTTAATATATATTTCCTTATGGTGACAAAGCAGTAATTATAAACATATAATAATCATAAACGTATGATAGACAGGATTTGTAGGCATGTGTGTAATTCTTAGAAAGTTTTATTCATACCTTACAAACAATATTTAACATCTTCTGGATTACTTTTTAGGTCTGATGTGGGTCTGTGTCAGTTTTCATGTTCACAGTTACATTTAGATTCTAGATGTAGTGTTACCACTTAAAAGATCATTTATCATGAGACTGCAACTGTGGGGCGGTAAGAACAAAGAAATTTATGGGAACCTATCAACCTAATACACTAATAATTTTTAAAACCCAAGTTATTCTTTAATATTTCCCAATATTTGGTACAAAGTCATAAAAGTAATGGCTGGATCTGAGACTGATAACTTTCTAGCATATCTTGATAATCTGATGTAGACCTTCCTACATTCAGACCAGAAAGATATCACAGTGAACATGATCTATGCATTGCTTCAATCTAGAACAAAATGTCATCGGTAAATTTTATCCTCTATCCTACTAAAACAGACTTTAGGAATTTGCTCATGATTGTATTAAAGAAATAAAGAATACCCGAATTGAGAGATTCCAATCAGAATGTGCCTGTATCTCTTAAAGTGATAAGAAAAAACCCAAAGCCTCTTTATTTTAAATGAATTACATATTCTAAGAAGATGCCTCTTTGTTCTTTATTTGCTGATTTGTTCTACTATTAGAATATTATACTACAAAATAAAAAAGTTAATAATGGTAATTAAAGTTTTAAACTTTTGTTTTTAATTTAACTGTGATACCTGCTAGAAATTTGAGGGTTTCAAGCTCCTCTTACCTTGTGTAGAAAGAAGGATAATGGATCTTGAAAGCATCACTGAAATGATTAAAGAGCCATTAACATCACCAAGTCATCTGCTCAGGAGGGTGAGGCAGGAGGATCATGGACTCCCGGCCTGTGTCGGCAACATAGAGAGACCCTGTCTGAAGAAACAAGCCATGGTAGCTCATGCCTATAGTTCCTGTATTTGAGAGGCTGAGGTAGGGACCATAACGCAGCCAGAACTTACCTAAAAGACCATGAACACACACACACACACACACACACACACACACACACACACACACACACACACACACACACACACACACACACACACACACACACACACCAAGAGAGAGAGAGAAAATTAGCAAGTCGTCCTCATTCCTTCACTTTATATTCATTTTTAATTGTATCATTTGTTTTCTTTTCTGTAAAAGTATAACTTTCTGGTTAAAGAAGGTGAAACTAGTATCTGACAGTTCTATTGTATGGCTTTCCACTATTGCAAAATAAAATTAATGAGCATATACTGTGTTCTATCCCCCAAATTTGCTCTTGCATGTTGGGAAAAGGTGAGGATGGGACAGACTGGAAAGCTGTAGAGTCACCTGGGACAAGGTCTGTTCTCACTGACAGTACTCGGCCTTTGTTGTTCACAGATCAGGAAAAGAAGACCTACACCAGCATCCCTTGTGATTCTCAATGAACACAACCCCCCAGGTAAAGAAGCATGATGTCTTTCACACTTAGGGAACACAATAAAATTGCATGAAGAATCTTAAGAACATATTGCCAAAAGTTTTCAGTCAGGATTTTGGTTAGCTATACTCTAACAAGTTAATCTATAAAATGGTCAGAAACAAAATCAGAAATAAATACTATAAGAAATGTCTCAGCTCACAGCCTGCTTGCCCTCTAGAATGAGATGTTGTGAGGATATTATGTGAAGTGCTTTATTAGGACTGGCTGTCATGTGTTCAGGTGTTTGTATAGAATCTGGTTCAGTGCTTATTAATGAAGCTGGCCAAAGTTGTTTAATTAGGTTTCAAAGCTCAAATTACAGCCCTAGAGAGGCTTATATCTTTATAGGATAGGTTTTTCTTTTTTCTTTTTTTTCTTCTTATGAAATCTCATTATGGAGTGGGCAATGAGCCAGCATTGGCTACAGCTTTGCAGCTGATGTCATCTCTGAATAATGCAATTGATAAATAACCAGATCAATTTTCAGCACTGCCCGTTTGAGAGCCATTCTGAACCATTGTATCCATTTGTTGAGGTTTTATTTTCCATTTCCTGTAAAAAGTAAAACTGCATTATTATTCCCGATAAAGAACTATGATCTTTAATACATGAATATTATTTATGTGAATAGGGGGATTTTAGGATCACATTCAGGGAAATATAAGTAAGACAGGAAAGGTCATGGCATTACTTTGTAACCAGGCAGAACCTGGTGTTTTTTTTTTTTGTTGTTTGTTTGTTTGTTTGTTTTTGGTATAAACAATAAGGGTAGAGGAAAAGATTTGAATAGTGGAAATATAATATGTCTAATAATAGGTTCTAGTGAATGATTCATTTTAAGAATATCAAGGTAAGATAGCTCTTCATTTTTTCAGATTCCTTTCTAATTAGAGACACGTGGAAGAAAGTAAAATTGTACTAGCATATTCATCACTGAGCCCAAATACAAGAAAATTTTTAGCTGAGTAGCTAATTTATTTTTTTTCTGCAGACAAAGAATTATAATTGATTGTATATTTTCTCCTTTAATTAATGTTAATTTTTCTATAGTTTGTTGAATAAAAGGTGAAAATGGTATAAACTTACAGTGTACAAATAAATACAAATTAATGAATCTAATGACAAAATCTTAGTTCCAAGATTCATAGTAACTTTCCGTCATGGTCTTGCTTACAGTGGTGGACATTTTTACTAGAACTTTCCTCCCTATCCCTACCTTCAAGAGTGCTATCCAACTTGATTTCTAGGTGTCTTTCTAACTACTTGAGAGCAGATTTCAGAATTCTGCAGCCATTGTCACTTTTTGAACATAGCAAAATTATGTAAATGACCTTCTTGGCTCTTATTTGAACTCACCCCAAAATTAACTTGTTTCTTGTTTGTCAAATAAATGCCATTTTACAGCTGAAGGAAGTGTGTATCAGAGAAGTGAAGTGATTTTTGCAGTTTCTCCACTAGAAGTGACAGATTTCAGAGACAAACATTTTTAATTCCCGTTCTAAAGCTCATGCATTTTATCACGTGATACTGACCTGAAACTTTCAGTTTGTATTACATGGTGGTCTCTGTAAATGTGCTTAAACCTTCAGGCACTATAAGTAAGTAAACCCAAACTTAAGTAAATGCTTTTTCTGGACATTTACATAATCTGTTTAGGATATATCACCTCTAGCATGAATTAATAAATCAATTCAATTCAAAATAATGGGAAATTGGACTAAAATTTTTGAATTAAAGGTGTCAGATCTGAGAAAGTTTAGCAGCAAAAGTATGTCTTTATGATAGAAGGGGCAGAAACAATGCATTTACTTCTAGGAATGGCTGAACAGTCAGGTGTCAGAAATAAGCTACTAGTGGGACCAGCAGTTAGCGTAATGGCTATGTCGCTGGACTCCCATGTAGTCGACCGTGGTTTGCGTCCCGGACCCGGTGGCTTAGAACTCATGCCGGGCATCTGTGCGTGCATGCTCAAGATCCCGAGAGGAGAATGGAGGAGAAGGGATTGTGGCATGGCCATCCCC